TAACAAAATTGGTTGCATGCGAACTGTGTAGAATGGCATTGTTGGGGTTGTGCTTAGTGCACCATAGACAGTCGATGAAGTTCGCTTTTTGAACACCCCACAGCTGCTTAGCTAGTTTTTGAAACTTTATTGGTTTAACTACGGTTTCAAAGAGCGAGAAAAACACTTTTGATGAGAGTCCCCACCTCTTTCCAATTGTTCCTCTAGAACAGTATGAGGCTGCTCTGTATAAGTACAAATATGTATTTAATTAGAAAAGGTTGTTTTAATTGGAGTATGTTACCACAGTCGAAATGGAACTCGGCACTTGCTTAACTAATACTTATGACCCATTTTAGTGGGTTCATTTCTACTTCTTGCAACGTGAATTTGGATTTTTATTTCAACCACTAATACATATAAAAAAAGACAAATTCAATATACATATATATTTAAATGTATATATGTATCAGCTTATTTTTCAATTCAATGCTTAGCTAAACTCAAGTTTTCCCTTAAGCACTAGGAAGTAAATAAATATGTATGCGGCAGTGCTGCCATATGGGCACACGTTGTTTGTTTATCTATTTAAAAGCTACCGGTGCTTTAGCATTCTTCTGTTATGATTTATGAGTTGGAAGCTTTGTTGAGTTGTCGCACGTGGGCGCCAGCCAATACATGCGACACTTACTCTTACTTAAGCAAATCTTCACAGGTATTTCGGGAGTTTATCAAGCTGGCTTTTCCGTTATCGCCGATGCCTTGTTGCATCGTCGCATATCCTGCATGCCACACAAGACGTGGTTTCACTTTTCTCAACACCTTTGTTCCATTTGTCATGCCACAAACTCAAATATGTCTGCATTGTCGTCTACGTGTGGGCAAAATGCATGCCACAGTTGCCACAAGTTCCGCTACGCATAGTTGTCGTATCATCAATCTGCCGCAGACTCGTATCAGCTCACATTTTCCATATCAATTTGTTTCTATTATTGTTGCTTGTTTATTGTGACAACTTGGTGGCATATTTGTATGAGCCGTTATTATTTCACAACTCGCTCATATTTTACAACAAACATCTTTCTAAGCTACGAGTGTTTGCGCAGGTAGTCGCAGTTAAAAGAGTGTTGGCGTGGAGAGAAGGGGGATTTTGTTGTAGCTGTACCGCTAACACTGTTGATCATTGTTGTCAAAAGAGTTATGCGACAACTCGTGACACAGATGTAAGCTTGTTGCTTATGAGCAAGTGCAATTCAGTGTCTACTACTTTAGGGAAATTTTAATACAGTTAGTTACGTAGAGTCGTGCGTTATACACTTTAAGCATTTATTTGATGCCAGTGTGGGCCTATACAGTCATTGTTTGGTCAAAACCTGGAAAAAGCCGCCTTTCAATGTATTCTGTGAGTTCATAATTATTATGCAGAGGAAATTTCAACATCTTTGGATTATGTTTATAATTTTGCTTTCTATTTACTTTTATTTTTACATCCGCGCTTTATACGCTTGAAATATTATCTTCAAATACTTATTTCATAGCGTTCGTGTACTTTGTACTGATTTGCGGACGAGACCAAGGGAAGTCGAAATCAGCTTTTCGTGACTAACACTCAGGGAATTCTGTCTTTTCCAATGGCCAATTAACCTATGGCCAAACTACCGAAAAGTTTAACTAAATCTTGAATAGAGCATATAGTCACCTAAAATGCAAGACAGCGTATCAAAAACAAAAAAAAGGGAATTTTAACATAACCATTCTCAAATTTGTTTAAATTTAAGCGGTTTCCATTATATTGTTTTTCCTTTGCCCTCAACTTACTTTTTTTCGACTACTTTTCGCTTCAATTAGGGCCGTACGTTAGCAATATCGTGCCGAATATTCTCTTCCGTTGTTCATCATATTTTCGGGCTAATCGACGGAGACAAGCGACCCCACAAAAATAGAAAATAGTGCAGCAGTCTTTCTTCTCACAGATCTTTGGAGTTTATATCAGAGACCCACGACACGATGTATTGCGCTCACCAAATGTTTCCTTCTATCAATTTTTCTTTGGATGTATGACATGTACTGTAGTTTTGTTGAAACCAAAGTTCGCCCCCATCACTATGGTCCATTTCAGGGACGAAAAAGTCAGTAGTCATGGCTGTATAGCATTCCTTCTTGGTTGGCATATTATGGTCCGCTTCTATTTTGATTACATATATATGGACTAATAACTCTGTCTGCTCTATATAAGCATAATAAACAGTGACTTTTTGAAGATGTGACAGCGTCTTAATAATGGATTGTGGATTATCATCACTCCAAATCGTGATCGATCTCCTGTCTAGAATAAACATGATGCAAAACCGATCCACGGTTGCTCCAAAATACTGACTCTGTTGCGCGAATGGACGTCGTGCGCATCGAATCATTATTATACCCTGAACAGGGTATATTAAGTTTGTTACGAAGTTTTTAACACCCAGAAGAAAGTATCGGTGACCCTATAAAGGATACATATAAATGATAAGTATGTTGAGCTGAGTCGATTTAGCCATGTGTGTCTGTCTGCCTGTTTGTCCGTCTGTCTGACTGTCTGTCTGTATATATACGAACTAGTCCCTTAGTTTTTAAGATATCGTTTTGAAATTTTGCAAAGGTCATTTTTTCTTCAAGGAGCTACCCGTTTATCGGAACTGCCGATATCGGACCACTATATCATATAGCTGCCATACAAACTGCACGATCAGAATCAAGTTATTGTATGGAAAACTTTCACATTTGACAATGTATCTCCATAAAAGTTGGCACAGGTTATTTTCTAAGCCAACAATGTAATCTCCAACGAAATTGTTGAGATCGGTTAACTATAGCATATAGCTTCCATACAAAATGAACACATCGTTACTAAAAGAACGGCACCTGTGAAGGGTATATTTGCTTCGGTGCAGCCGAAGTTAACGTTTTTTCTTCTATTGTTAATAAATTTGCGCGATTTATACACGTTGTTCTGGAGTAAATCTGTTTATTATGAAATGGCAAACCTAACTGGGTATAAGGCAAGTAACATCTGTCAAAGAGACCAACTTCGAAAAAACTATTGCTTGATTGAAAAACACAATTAAACAAAGAAATATATAATTTCAAATTGATCAACTTAAGCAGAAATTATTAGTGGTATCTCAAAATACTGCTTTTATAGGGTTTGTTCTACTAGAGCTTAATTAATTAATTAAACTAGGGTTCTAATTCTACTAAGTGCTCCTTTTCGCTTTTCATACGCATTATCTTCGAACAATGAACCAATATTATACTATTTTGATTATTCCGAAAAATTGACGTATGTCGCATTTCTCAAGCTCTTGACTCAACTTTTTCCAACAAATGTAGGATCTTACATACATATATCATGTTAAACTCGAACTGCTGTTTGAGTTTTGAAAACAATTTTCATAAGTTTAATGTATAACAATACTACATATAGCGAAGCAGAGCCCAAACATATCAAAGAGAGCAGAATTGTAGTTTTTAATAAGAGAATCTGTTCATATACTCACCTATATATATATATATATATACATGTATGTACAGAATAAATAGATGGCATTAGAGAGCTATCCAGCCAAAAAGTTTCCAACCAGTTTATAACCGGCCCTTCAAGGGCAATACATTTATTTTAGCGACCCTCCAAATATTCAATAACATTTTTGTAATACGATTTGCCTTTTGCTTCAAAATAGTCCTTAGTTTCAGCGATCAATTATTTATTGGATGCAAATTTCTTCTCAACGAGCATTTTTTTTTTTTTTTGAGATTTGACAATAGGAAATCGCTGGGGCAGATCAGCAGAATATGGTGGGTGTGGAAACAATGCGAAGCCTAATTCATGGATTTTTGTCTCGTTTTCAGGCAATTACGTCCGTTTTTTGCCGATTTCGTCCTTCAAACGGTCCCCTATGTAATACTCGCTGTTGATTGTCCTTCCTTTTCAATGTAGTCAATAAAAATTGTTCCATATGCATTTCAAAATACAGACGCCATAACCTTGCCAGCCCAGTGTTGCGCTTTCCACGCTTTGGAGCGAGTTCATCGTATGTTGTTTACTCTGATGTCTATCTATTGGATTTCCAAGTGAAATGATCCATTGTCCTACTATACCGACGCAAAAAGTCGTGTTTATTACGCTTGAACATCTCTAAACACCGTTCCGAAACATTCACTCGTAGTAGTTTTTGGTTAAACGTGAACTTGCGCGTGCCCACGTTGCAGAGAGCGTATTTAATTGATATCTTTAGAGTACCTGCTATATCGAAAAACTTCACTTAACGCTGATCCAAAATTAGTTTGTGGATTTGTTTGGTGTTATCCTCGGCAACAACTTCTTTTGCTTCTTCTTCTGTATTTTTTCACACTTGTATGAAAGTTTCATTCTTCGGACTTCGGTTGTGTTTATAAAATTTAAGTGCTTACTGGTGTCACTTTTAAGACTTTTTCATTGAATTTCATCAATATCGGATTACGTTAATACCTTTGAAGTCTATTTTTCAATTAGAGATCTTTCGTTGGTAATCGACCATTTTAATAAACCAGTCTGCAGAGTTTAATGATCACAGTTATCGTAAAACACCTGAAATCGCACAAGCTGTGGTGCTACTGTCGAAGAAATATCAGTTTCCCAAAATTAAAAATGTTGCCAATTTGTATTCCGAAAAGTTTATTAAGTGTGGAGATAGGACTTCGCTGATTTTACGACTTCGTTTGATAGTTCTTTTTTGTCACTGTTTTATTGCAACAGTCGGGACGAGTATTTTACGATGTTCGTGAGTTGTTATTAAAATCAATACATCTTTAGGCAGCTACAGCTCAAATTTTAAGAGGCGTGTGTCTGAAGCAGTCGTTAATGAAGTATAATGACGTCTTTTATGCTTATCAGACCTGATGGTATAATCTCTGGGCAGATAGAGTACCAATTGATTACGAGATAATTTGAATGATAAATCACATTATTAATTTTTTTGTTTTAATTTCTTTACTTCTAGGTCACCTTAGTCCCAGCGAACACCAGTATGGGTCCACTACTAGTCTTCTTCCTGTACATGCTACAATTGCAGGCGACAATACGAAGCGAAATCATAGAATCACCAAATGAACAACTAAACACCATATCCGACACTGATGACGCCGATTTAAATGAAAGCGAGTCCAACGAACGAACTGAGAATTCGCAAAAATTACCTTTCATACAAACAGGACGCGATCCAACCGAAGTAGAGTTTCGTTATCCCATCGCATCCTTAAATATTGACTACACGAAAAATTTGATTATTTTGAAATTTCGTAAGTCCAAGGCCGACGAAGAGGAGGAGCGTCGTCGCAAATCGTTTAATGAGAATTTCATGCGCTTCGGACGTGCGAATGCCGATTTTATGCGTTTTGGACGCGATGCAGATTTCATGCGCTTCGGACGCAGTCCATCCGACTTTATGCGCTTCGGCAAACGTGCGCTCGAACAAGTGCCCAAAATGAATAGTCTTGATCATGATTATAAGGTTAACTACGATAAGTGCACCGATGCGGGTCGACGCATTGAACGCAGTCAAGAGGGTATACGCGATTCACGCGGTGACAATTTCATGCGTTTCGGTCGACCAGCTGATGACTTTATGCGTTTTGGACGTAGCGCGAATGACTTCCTACGCTTTGGCCGTGCTTCCGGTGATTTTATGCGCTTTGGTAGAAATCCTTCGGACTTTATGCGTTTCGGACGTGGTGGTTCTAATGATTTCATGCGTTTCGGTCGCAGTTCTAAGAATGATTTCATGCGCTTCGGACGCACGCCAAAGGAACAACGTGGGGAGAATCAAGATTTCATGCGTTTCGGGCGAACGGACAATTTCATGCGCTTCGGTCGAACACCGGCCACAGCAAAACAACCAACGATTACACCGAACTTCATGCGTTTCAGTAAACCCGATCAGAATTTCATGCGTTTCGGCAAGAGTTTGGGGCAGCAAGCTAATGAAAATAGCACAAAACCCCCATTACCCAGAGAGGTGATCAAAGAAGCCGCGAAAATTCTACATCAAGCCGAACAATATGGTGGTATAGGCGAAAGTAATCCCATGGACAGAGCTATTAAGGTGTTGTTTAGTAAGGATGGCGAGCATGAAACCTCGGCACAAAACGAGAAGAGCGCTCAAAGTGACGCCGAAGCGATCGATGAGGACACAGATGCTGATTACGAACTAAATGTGGTGCAATGAGCTGAATATACATAAATGAATGGGCTTCAAGCTGGTACCAAATTTGACGACCTTATGTATATAATTACTTCGCTAAAATTGATGAACTGGCCACGGAAACTTACACAAGCACACATAACCTATACAAATATAAAGCAAAATATAATTTTGATAAAAAAAATTATATAAATTAGACGTAAATATGCATATAAAGGGTGTATGCTGTATACAAAAACTGGAAAAATCTTTGTGTATCTTATTTGACATGTTTGGAAGTGAATTTTTACTAGGGCTGGAATAAAAGTTCACTTCCTGAGCGACTTCCTTACTTTGAGTAAACATAAAAATGTGAGCATGCAACCCAGTATACGAGTAGATGTTTCAATGTAAACTATATAAATATATATTATATATACTTTGAGATTTTGTTAAAATAATATAGGAAAATCAAATATATATACAAACACACACATAAATATAGTTAAGAATATGAATCGATATAGCTATGTAAAAAAATATACATCTATTTTAGCTTCACATACTTATGTACTTATAAAAAAATTATACAAAATTTTAAATGGTTTGGAAATAATCAATGAAAATCAAAATAAAACGAAGACTTCAAAAGCAACAAAAACAGAAAACAAGCATCCAACTTCATTACTTTTATTTACATATGCGCAGAAAAAGCGAAGGAAAAAAAAAACAAAAAATTTAGAATGCATAGTTATTTCTGAGTGATTTTATAAGATTTTAATGATTGAATTTGATTTTATATAAATTCATAAAAATTTAAAAAATTTAAACCATTTTTATTCAAACTTTTTCGGCCAAAATAACTTTGGCAGTTCTTTGTAATTAAAAGTGCCGTTTTTTTCATAGGTGCTTCAAGAATCAAAATGTTCTGAAAATACTTTCGTAAATTTCTTTACAAAAATAAAATCTAAGAAAAAAAAATACAAATTTTCTTGAAATATGCAAACAAATTTAATTTTGTTCGGACTAAGTCTGGGAACAATCATTGAGGAAGAAATGTCATTAGCACTGCTTAATGAAATATAAGTTTCCGTCGATTATTATATTATCATTTCCTGATGATCATGTCACACTATCAAAACAATTTTAAGAACTATGAAAATTTTAGCAGTAACACCGGAGAATATAGTGCTTTACATCATCGAATCGAAGGTGATCTGGGACAGAAAGGGCGCGTGGGCAGCTATAGCCAAGCAAGAAAGAAAGAGTGGCAATGCAGCGAAAACAAAAGGATTAATCGGAATTAGAGCGCAAATGCGTGAATGAAGAGCCGGATGGCTAAGCTTAGTCCCACGATGTAATGTCTAATGGCAGTTCCGTAGTCCTAATATAAGCAATGACAATGGAGTTCAGGGTTTAGTGCGTGGGCGTACTGTGCTGCAAGTCCTGTTTGGGCGTGCGGCCAATACGAATCGCGCATTTCCGGAAAAATTATTATAGCTTTGAAGCTTCCACCTCCGAAAAAAAGAGTCTCGCTGTGTTTGTAAATAAACTGCACTGGCAACGATTTTTCCAATTCACTTTTTGGGTTGGCCTTCAGTTCCTTCAGCGAATTTCGTTTTATCCCTTCGATCGGCTGGAAATGGTTTCCACGAAGCGAAAATTTCAGTTTAGGAAGCAATAAAAAAGTACACAGAGCCAAATCTGGTGAATACGTTGGTTGATCGATGGTATTCATTACATTTTTGCTTTAAATTCAGTCACAATCATACTCTTTTTGAAAAAAAATTCAGTTTTATTGGCACGAGTCGAGCAAGAACGCGTTTCATACCCAAAATATTCACCAAAATCATTCGAACGGACTTGCGAGAGATGCTGAGCTCTCTTACCATCTCTCAAGCATTTGCCTGACTTTTCAAGTACCATATCCTTAACTGTTTTAATATAATATTTCAGTTAAAGAGGTCGAAGGTTGTCCAGAGTCATGTTTTCAACGATCTCTCGCCCGTGTTTGAAGTCTCTTAGACTTGTGTTTTTGATAAAACTGAATCCCCGCAAGCATTGTCAACAACTCAGAAACTTTGAATTAGACACAGTTTTTTTTTTGGAGTATACGTACGAGAACTGACGAACAGAGTAACACAATACTCAATAGTCGGAAGTGCAGACACCTTGCTTTATATGCACAGATGTATGTACATATATTGGAGCAGGCAAATTTTTTTCTGCACAACTTTGACTGCGCAACTATGGGTCTAAAACTGGTTTAGAGGCAGTGATTTTTAAGGCGAAGTTTTCGCTTCTATAAGAGATATGTAATATATTATTATATATGATCAATAGAATATCAAAATGAACCTACGTATTAAATTTTATGCGGATATCGCAAAAGTTGACGAACAAATTTTTATAATCCTTAAAGAAGTTCGCCTTAAATATCGCTAGCTCGCTGTTTGCCCCACTATCTTAGGCAAAGTGTTTCAAAATGATTCATAGAATATTTCCCTCATGTGCGTTTTCTTCGTGTTTTTTGGCGCACCGCCAATCGACCAGCTCCATTTGCTTTTTTTTGGTCTTTTGACTGTGGTCTCTTGTCAAAACTTTCAAATTAAAAAAAAAAAAAAAATCAATAGCTTAACACAAATCAGGAGAATCTATGGATTACTCGCAAACTGGCATAACCTTTGGCTTGGTTGAAAAATACAATTTGTTTTTCGTGTAAAAAATGGGTTGGGTGTAATGGTTTGTTCGATATAAATTTTTATAATTTTATACTTACTTAGACCACTTTTTACTTTCAGCACGAACTCTGTTGGCTGGAGTCTTAAAAGTTTACTTTGCCAATGTGGTAAAGAATTCCATTTTTATACAAATATTTAGTTATCCTTTTGCATGTTTTCTTGACTGCATGGGTTTTTATAGCCACATGAAAAATAATATACTAAGGTGTTTTAACGAAGGAGAGTAGATTTCTTTCTAACTTAAAAGGGGCATTTGTTTTTGCTTCTAGCACGGATTTATATTTGTGTGTAATAAAATAGCCAGATTATGTAAGGTGCGAATCGAACAAGTAACTGGTATACAAACATTAGATAGGTAGAAATAGAAATAGAAAAGCCGCTGATTTATACCAAATAAATGAGCTTCCTACCATAGACGCCCCCGAAATTGAATTCATATCTGAATTTGTTTTCACGAATATAAATTTTTGAAACTGGCCTAAAGCGTCGCAAATCGAAGCCGCCTTGAAATTATACTAATTACAAACCTACACAACTCGTATATATTTTATGTTAAACAGATGCTGCGCCCACGCTTGATCATCCCTTACTCTTGTATAACAGAGGTGGAAGACTACCGACGCTACGGAAGTTGCACTTAATCAAACTAAAAGGCAAATTAAATTATGTAGCTTACAAATTTGAGATGTTTAACACATTCTACGATGCGCTAGCCAATAACAGTAATAACAAAAACAATACCAATAACAACTAAAACAAATATAACTATAATAATGCAGATTAAGGGATCTTAGTCTGTGGCGAGTGAATTTTCAATTCTCACTTTTCCACATTGTTAGCGGTAATTTGCGGAAAAGCAAAAACAACAAAACACACAGAAAAGTTAAAAGCGAAAAAGAGTAAAGTAAAGTTTAAATAGTAAATACTTCGTGGCAGTCGCGAGGCTGCGTAAGTAAAACGTGTGCAGGAAAACCCAACGCCACGTTTATTCGAAGTGCAGCGGCAATAACGAGCATAAATATGGACATAATGCAAATTTGCTAACCTGCAACTCGTACACATGGCTGTGAGTGTGTGCAAGACGCACAACGTTAATTAGCCATATAAATTGCTTACAACTAAATTAATGCGATGATTTCTTGTGAATGAAGTCCACAGGGAAGCAAAAATAAGTAAATAAATAATTGTAAAAAAAAATAAAAATAAAAGGTATAAAGAATTTAAAAAGTTATGAAACAAATTGTAATAAAATAAAAAAGAAAATATAATAAAATAAAATTGAATTATTGAAAAAAGATTTAATGAGTACAAAATAAATTAATATAAAATAATTATAAACTAAATTAAATAAAAAATAGTACATATCTCAGCCTAAAGGTGAGGAGTTACTTAAAATAATTACAGAATCTTGCTCTATAAAACACCCAAAGCACACTTAAAATCACGTCAGTAGCTGTGTAGGAATCAATCCTCAGTTCAGACCTCTGTAACGTCAGCTACGGAGGTCATTCCTTTCCTTTATAGGCGTAGACACGGCTTACACGCTAATAGCCGAGTTTACAACAGCATGCCAGTCGTTCTTTCATTTCGCTGTTTAACGTCAATTGCAGTTTTTTGCTGCATAGAAGCGGGTGAGTATCTTCGCTGTAACAAGATAGTGGTCCAAGTCAATGCGAGAAGCTTAGAGCGTACGCACCTCTAAAATACTGGCAACTTGTCAGCCGTCTATCACAACATTATCGATTTGGTTGGCGGTTGATGAAGCTGGTATTACAGACAGCCTTCTTTCGGGTCCGGCAAAGTCGATCTGCTTCAACCCATTTGGAAGGTTTCATCAGGGAGGCTGAATTTACTGACTGTTGTGCCAAAGATACCTTCCTTGCCCAACCTGGCGTTAAAGTTGCCAAGCACGATTTTGACATCGTGGTGGCTTCTGCCCACGTAGGTATGCTGCAAGACATCTTTGGTCATATCGTCCATACCTTCCGGGGGGGCGTGGACGCAAATCAACGATATGTACATAGAAGAATCTCGCTTTAATGTGGATTGTAGTTAGACGTTCATCCACCGGAGTGAATGACAGTACTCGGCGAAGTAGTCTCTCTCCCACCACGAATTCCACACCAAACTTGCGCTCCTTTATTTGGCCACTGTAGTAAATGCCACAGGGGCATACTCGTCTTAGTCCTTGTATATCCCACTTCTTGGACGGCGATGATGCCAGCCTTGCAGTGGCTGTGCAGTGGCACCTCCCCAATTAAGAAAAGTTGACTTGCGTGAACTTGCGTGAACTTCTACATATGGCTCAAACCTATATGTATGTATATACCTTAGCTTATTTATAGCAACACCGTCTCTTCATACCTTTGTAAAGGGAAATAAGTATAAGAAACTAAGGTTTAAAGTCTATCAGTTATTAAACTTAATACTAAAAATCTATTTTATTAAATAATGCTAACAAGACGACCACATACACTACTTATGTCCTTAAGTGCACGATTTAAGCTTCTCACTTGTTGCACATTGCGGTTGCTTAGATCCGTTGTTTCAACCGCCGATGTGCAATTTATGCCAAAAATAATGTCGTACTTTGTCTACTGAGAGTAAATATTTTGAAATGACAGCAAGCACTCAAATGAAATGGGTAAATAAACGGCCGGTGCGTTTGAGCAACAAACGTCTTTGGTGGCAAGAAAATGTGTGGATACCTTCATATATATAAATATGTCTACATACA